TGTAGATTTTTTCGTGGAAGATCTGTGTAGATCTTGTCATAGAAGATCTGTGTAGATCTTCTTATAGACGATTTGTGTAGATATTCTCATAGAAGATCTGTGTAGATCTCTCATAGAAGATCTGTGTAGATCTCTCCATAGAAGATCTGTGTAGATCTCCTTAGAAGAAGATCTGTGTAGATCTCTCTATAGAAGATCTATGTAGATCTCTCTATAAAAGATCTATGTAGATCTTCTCATAGAAGATCAGCGTAGATATTCACATAGAAAATCTGCAGATCTTTTATTCATATAAGATCTGTAGGTTTCTTCTCATAGAAGATCTGTAGATCTTCTCATAGAAGATTTGTAGTTTTTCTCATAGAAGATCTGCTTAGATCGTCTCATAGAAGACCTGTAGATCATCTCGTAGAAGATCTTTTGATCTTCTCATAGAAGATCTGTTGATCTTCTCATAGAAGATCTGTGTAGATCTTCTCATCGAAGATCTGTGTAGATCTTCTCATCGAAGATCTGTGTAGATCTTCTCATCGAAGATCTGTGTAGATCTACTCATCGAAGATCTGTGTAGATCTTCTCATCGAAAATTCTGTGTAGGTCTTCTCATCGAAGATCTGTGTGGAACATCTGTAGATCTTTTATTGATATAAGATCTGTCGGTTTTCTTCCCACAGAAGATCTGTAGATCTTCTCGTAGAAGATATGTAGATCTTCTCATAGAAGATCTGTAGATCTTCTCATAGAAGATCTGTAGATCTTCCCATAGAAGATCTGTAGATCTTCTCATAGAAGATCTGTAGATCTTCTCATTGAAGATCTGTGTAGATCTGCTCATAGAAGATCTGTATAGATCTACTCATAGAAGATCTGTGTAGATCTACTCATAGAAGATCTGTGTAGATCTACTCATAGAAGATCTGTGTAGATCTACTCATAGAAGATCTGTGTGGATCTTTCTGTAGATCTTCTCATCAAAGATCTGTATAGATCTTCTCATCGAAGATCTGTGTATATCTTCTCATCGACGTAGATCTTCTCATCGAAGATCTGTGTAGATATTCTCATCGAAGATCTGTGTAGATATTCTCATCGAAGATCTGTGTAGATCTTCTCATCGAAGATCTGTGTAGATATTCTCATCGTAGACATGTGTGGAAGATCTGTAGATCTTTTATTCATAAAATTTCTATTATTTATTATTCTTCCCATAGAAGATCTCTAGAATATTTGTAGTTTTTCTCATAGAAGACCTGGTTAGATCCTCTCATAAAAGATCTGTATAGATCTTCTAAAAGAAGATCTGCGTAGATCTTCTCTTCTCTTTTTTTCTTCCTTACTACTTATTTCCATTCAATTTCTGTTTTTCGTGCTAAAAAATATCGCAACAGTTCATTAAAAATGTATCCGAGTAACTTGGTTTCCATGTTATTTGAATGTATTATTTATTATAGATTTTTCGTTGTTATGTTTCCTTGTGTTTTCTTCTTGTTGTCATCTCCTACTTGAATTGCAATTTGTTATTATTCTACTGCAAGCGACCCCTTAGAGATTTCCTTTAGTACAATAAACTATAATGACTTCAGATGTGAGGGAAGCAGATTTACTGGCAGCACAGCAACGAATATAAAACAAGAATAAGAAGTAATGCTGTTTGATATTTAAAAAATCAGAGAAGAAGAAACCAGTAAATTGCAGATACCATTCACTTAACACATCCTCCAATGGAGAGGGCGAGGAGAGGAGTACACACCGACGCAAAATCGTCCACATTCTTCATGCAAACTAACTATTCATGCAATGGCTGGCAATGGTAACTGTAGCTAGCTGCAGCGTTGTTTGCATCTGCTTCTTATTTTATTTGGTATTAATTCGTATTGAAAATGTTTGCTATTTTTTATTTGTTTATATATTTCTTGATACTCTGGATGGATGTTGTTGTTACTGATTCGATTTTCTTACTTTCATTTTTTTTTTGCTTTTCTTTTAATACACAGGTCGGCATGCGTTTGCTCGAGGTGAATGGCAACTCGTTACTGGGTGCCACACATCAGGATGCTGTCAATGTCCTTCGTAATGCCGGCAACGATATACACTTGGTCGTCTGTAAGGGATACGATAAATCCAATTTGATTCATTCTATTGGTACAGCTGGTGGCATGAGCACCGGCTTTAGTCGTCATGGTAAGTTTTTTGTTTTGTCTTGTTGTTTGCTACGAATGTAAATTTTTAGCAACAGGCTAGACGCCATACATCCCATCCCAACCACCCATTTGCTCACTCACTCACTCAAATTTCCCAAAGTGCAATGCAATGTAATTGCATTTATATATATTTTAAATAAATATATATTCAAATGTAAATGTAATGTAGTCGGATGAATTTTAAGATAGACCTGAGAGTTCCCAAATGGTATGTAAATAAGGAAAGTGTTTCTATGGTCCTGTTTGGAATCCACGTAGTATAGAAAAAGCAGGGAAAATGTATAACAGATTGCAATAATAAGGGATTGCAAATAGAGGAATATGAATATAATGCCGAATCGGACACTATCGTTTTTCTATGAGAAGACCTTCGGCTCTTTTATGCGAAGACCTTCAGCCCCTCCATGAGAAGACTTTCGGCTCTTCTATGAGAAACTTCTGCTCTTCAATGAAAAGACCTTCCGATCTTCTATGACCTTCGGCTATTCTATGAGAAGATCTTCGTCTCTTCTATGAAAAGTCCTTCGGCTCTTCTATGAGAAGACCTTCGGCTCTTATATGAGAAGATTTACGGCTCTTCTATGAGAAACCTTCGGCTCTTCAATGAGAAGGCCTTCAGATCTTTTATGAGAAGACCTTCGATCTTCTATGAGAATACCTTCGGTTCTCTATGAGAAGACCTTCGACACTTCTATGAGAAGAACTTCGGCTCTTCTATGAGAAGAACTTATATTCTTCTATCAGAAGAACTTATGTTCTTTTATGAGAAGACCATCTACTCTTCTCATAGAGAAGATCATCTGCTCTTCTCAAAGAGAAGACCTTCTTATCTTCTCATAGAGAAGATCATCTGCTCTTCGCAAAAAGGGAAGACCTTCTTGTCTTCTCATAGAGAAGATCATCTGCTCTTCTCAAAGAGAAGACCTTCTTGTCTTCTCATAGAGAAGATCATCTGCTCTTCTCAAAGAGAAGACCTTCTTGTCTTCTCATAAAGAAGACCATCTGCTGCTCTCATAGAGAAGACCTTATGCTCTTCTCATAGAGAACACTTCTCTTCTCATAGAGAAGACCTTATGCTCTTCTCCTAGAGAAGCCAACTTATTCTTATCATAGAGAAGACCATATGCTCTTCTGTGAGAAGATATTCGGCTCTTCTATGGGAAGACCTTCGGCTCTCCTATGAGTAGACCTTCGACTCTTTTATAAGAAGACCTTCTGCTGTTGTATGACAACGACTTCTGGGTATAAAATGAGAAAACCTTCAATGCGTCACTAAAAAGACCTTCGGACGTTCATTTGGCGCTTTAAAACTTCAAGGCAAGAGCTTCTATTCTTTAATTAGAGAATCTTCGAATAATTAACGAAAAGAATTTCGGATCATCCATCTATCAACAAGAAATCAGGATGCATTTTTAGAAGTATTTTCTTATCTTCTATTTGAAGACATTTTTGTCTCCTACCATAAAACTTTCTTCACGGAGATCTTCTACTTTTCATTGAAAAGACTTTTAAATCTTATTTTAACTCTTTGGTTCAGGTCATTTTTAAAAATACTTTTAATGCTGAGGTGCTGAGTCCTGTTGGAATGTCCAAGGTCTGCGGCCAAAATGTTTGCATACCAAAGGCTTTAAAACACCTCCAGAATATTTTCGCGATAATATTAGGCATTTATTCTGATGCCACGGTCGATTAATACGAGCGGAGAGCGACTATCGGCTGTTATGGCGGCCCACATCATCACCCTGGCCGGCGCTTGAGTTCTGGTGGTCAATCAAAGGTGCACATTTTCAACTGACCTCTTTGGCAAGTAAACTCGATCATTTTGTTTGTTTATAAACTGCTGGACAACGAATATTTTCTAATCGGAGAAAACCAAATTCGGCAGTTCACCACTTTCGGCCAAGCGAAGCTACTCTTTAGCTCTTTTGAGTCTATTTTCTTTCTGTTGCGGTGTAAGTTCTTGCACTTTTTGGAATTTCAATGGCTCACTTTTCTATATTTGCCGAATGGAATATTTTCGACCATTGCGACGCGGGTTTCGATCAGCAATTTCGAACCATTTCTGCTGATGTTGCTGTTTACTTCCGTCCACTTCCTTGACGTCGGGCTACGCTACCAGTGTCACGGTAACGAGCGATGGTACGGGACACAAAATATTTATTCACATTTAAATGCTGGAGTGCTCTAACGATAGCCACTTGTGGTTTTCCAGCCAAATATAATGAAATCACACTATCACGCTTGATTTCCATCCTTCCTTTTCTAAAAAGTTCTCACCAAAATGCTTATGTACGCTTGAAAACATTATAATGAGCTGTCGCTGAAATGAAATGACAGCAGTCTGAAGTTGGTTGCAGTTTTTTTCATCTCACCCTGTTATATAAATAATAGCCATGTTCTAAGTATAATCTGCCGGAACACCGACTGAAATTTTCTCTCATGTTCAAGATATAATCCATTATTTTTAGTGCACCCCTGCAGAACTCAGTGTGTTTAGATTACATTTTTATGGTTTATTTGCTGATAGAGCTCCCAAATGTTTGCTGTATTTGGGGGTAAGGTATTAATGTTCGAAACTACCACCTGCTAACCAATTTGTCGTATTATTAGACAAATTCCCAAACTTCCAACTCACTTTAATTATTCTCCACTTAAATAGCATATTGGATTTCTCTATGTCATTTTTTAAATTCAACTAACAATCATTCTGAAATCATCCCTGGTAAACATCTCATCATTTTAATCCCATTGCACCTCACCATGCCTCTGTACCAGAAAGTTGTAACTGTTGTTTAATTTTTGTATATTTTTAATTTTTTCTCTTAACAGGTTCACGTGCCTCAGAGACTGGTTCAGAGCTCAGTCAAAGCCAAAGTACATCCAGTTTGGATCGTGATGAAGATGAACGTCTAAAACACCAGGTACGTTTTAGATTTTATACGTTTTTCATTTTTTAATTTCCCGCAATTAAACTTCAATAGGGGGGGAAATATTGCTGTTGTTGCTGCTACTGCTTTGCTTTTAGAAAATTTAAACTTAAATGCAATATTGATGTTTGTATTTCGTTCTCTTTTCTTTCTAACCCCTCCTCACATTACATTTTGCTTTTCCTGATGCTACTGATGTTGTAAACTTATCGCACTGGCGTTGCTGCTGTTCCTGCTTAATGCTTTGCTGCTGATGATGATATGTTTGCCTCTGTGTTGTTTCTGATGCTGGCTGGTGTTGCTGTTGTTGATGATGATGATGATGATCACACGTATACCTGTTTGCTTGATTTCAAAATGCCAAACTTTATGGAAATGGATGATGACGACGACGATGACTGGCTTGCTGGCTGGCTGGCTAATGTTGATGCTATTCGAAATTGTTGTTTATTTAAAGGATTTGGAAGTTTTTGCAACAAAAACTGAAACGAATAATGAACAGCAGCAACAAGCAGCAGCTGTGCCAGTCGTGGCAGCCAACACACCAACGGCAGCAGCAGCAAACTCAGTATTAACCGCTCCAACCACCACCGCCACCACTGTGCCAAAGGCTACAACAGATGGCTTTAGCGTGCCCCCGCATCATGATGCTGCCCTTGTTGCCCAAAACACTGAACAGTCCTTGGCTTCCACAAAAGAAAAGAGCACTCCTGAAAAAGTAAGTATCCTCACCTCAGATATGGTGTTGCATTGGCCCAAATTGAATGTCAGTGTGATGCTTTGAGAAAAACACAGATGCATCCAATCGAGTTGCTTCGTACGTTTGGGTTGGTCTTGAATTCTATAGTAAATGATGGTAATGTGTTATGTTGGCAGCAGAATTGTATGAATGAATGCGCTCGGGAAGTTGGTACTTCTGTGGAATGCGTATTAATGCAAGCACACACATACACACACACATTCATTCAGCTAAATTTTTACCATCCTGTAACCCCTGTAACACCCTGGCGTTTTGTTGCCTGTCCTCTCCCCTCTGGCACACTCATTGAGGACTTTGCATCTGTAAACATAGTTTTTGTTAGTTTCAATGCTGGGATGGGAGTAACTTCTTTTAATTTGGTCTGAATGTTATCTTTCCTTGCCAAATGTTTCCGTGTATTTTCCATTTCCATTTTTCTTGTAATCTGTACGTTTGTATGCACATGTGTAGCTTTCCTACTTCTGTAGTGTGAGGTATTCTTGTTCATCGTCGTATCTCCTTCCGTCTGCGTTGTTGTTGATTCTATTTCATGGCTTACGAATTTTTACATGAACTTTTAACAATTTTGTTTGTAGAGAGACCAGGTATTTACCCTGGATGCACAAAAAGGATGCGAGAAGATACAACAACGCATTGGCCTTGATGGGGGGGGGGGGGGCACAAATGCATTAAAATTTGTGTCAGTTGTATGTGTATGTGTTTCTCATATATAAAAATTACACTGTGGAACGTAAAAAAGGAAAATTTAATTATAAGAAAAAAATTGGTGCTAGTCTACACATTTTGTTATTGTCATTTAGTTTCACTTATTTGGTTAATTGCTTGGCTTAAGGTCATTAAAAAACTATGTTTTTTATTTTTGAATTTTTCCTTTTTTATTCATCCAATATTTCGATTTCCTACGGAAATCATCTTCAGGGATATTTTTAAAGTAAAAGCTCGTCTATTGAGTTTAAATGTCTCTATCAAACAAGTTTCATAAAATTTTGGTAGCAAAAATCTTCAAAATAAATCGACGTTCTTGTACAGTCTTTTATATAAAGATACCCCCTGATTTTATGTATTGCCAGGGTTTTCAAATTAACCGCACAAAAGTAAACACACGGTTTCCATTTTTAATATAAAAATTTCGAGTGTAATGTTCTTTAAAACTCTTAAACTTATATGCATAGTTCATTGAAATGTTGTGTAGAATATTTCTTCTCTTGGGACCTTCTGCCTTAAACGAAGTTTTATGTTACTTTTATGCATCAGCTCGAAATATGATCGATGAAAAATGGATCAACAAACTAGGAAGTATTTTCGTTTTTTTTTTTTCATATTTTTATACCCTACAACACTATATGTTAAGGGGTATTACAAGTTTGATTGGGCCAAAATCCACATAGGAAAGTATATATGGATCTTCCTATCTCGCCGAGCTGAGTCGATCTAGCTATGTATATATATTATGGCCCGATCTTCACGAAATTTATAATGGAGGTTGGATCAGGGCCAGAATAGAAGCCTATTGCTTTTGGAGATGATCGCATAATATTTACGGGTTTGAAATGGACCAAAAACTGAAAAATTTCTTGATTTTGCAGTTGCTTTACAGGTTGCATATATAGACCAATCGACGCGGAATTTAGCATGGGGCTAGATCTTAGGGCTGGGCAGAAGTCTTTCAATTTTGATGGTCATCTCGTAATATTTAGTGGGTGAAATAGACCATAACATTTGTGTTAAATAAAAGTCAAATTTTCTATTAAACCGCGAATATTTTTAATCCCGGCGAAATCACAAGTAGACGAACAGGTCAATTCGGACCGTTACGTAGATGCCGATAGTAAATATATCGTATACATAGCGAAATATATACAATGTGTACACATGAAGAAAAGGGATGTTAGCTAGAATGCTTATATCTCAAAAATGGCTGGAGCGATTTTGACAAATTTGGTCAATTCAGAATGCCCTCTTGGCGTAAAAGAATAAAATCTAAAAAAAAATCGCACATAAAGATGCCAATAATGATGTTAATATTGATTTTGTAGTATTTTGTGACATATTTTATTTTTTCATATTTTTTATCGCATTCGATTTTTTCAATTTGACTTATAATATTGAAGTGTATATTTTGTAAATATCGTCCGATACTCACGAAATTTTTTACAAGGGAAGGGTTAGGCTCAGAAGGGCTATGCCTATTATCAAAGATGTTCGCAGTATATTTAGGGTTTGAAATGGACCAACAACTAAAAATGTTCCTGATTTTACAGCCGTTAAGGGCCACAAATAGAAACCAAAGAACACGAAATCTCGCATGAAGTTAGAGTTTGACCACTACTTTTGTGTGAAAAATATCAACATTTACATTCTACCGAAACGCTGAAAATAACTTACAGGTGATATCCAAAATACACAAAGAGGCCTTTTTATGCTCATTACGTTGACGAATATAGCCAAATATTGTAGGCAAGCAAATCATATAGATTTGTCTGAATTTAGAGATATAGAGGGGCCTCTTGCTTTTGGAGATAATCGCAAATTATTTAGGGGTTCAAATGAACCAAAAACAGAAAAAAATTCCTGATCACACAATTGAAGCCAATGTACACGCTTGAGAAGAGAATTAAGGACAGGGAATAATTCTAGCATTTTTAATGACCATTGGATTATATTTAGCTGCAAAATGCAACATAACAACTAACAGCATTGTATTGTAGTGTTGTAGGGTATCACATGGTCGGCCTTGCACCTTACTTGTTTTATTTATTTTTGCTCGGTTCCAGAGCTGGAAGAATGAGGGCTTTTTACGAGCGATAACAGATTTTCCTTTTTGAAAAAAAAAATGGTAAAACTAGTAGATTCTTGAAGGTTCTGAACAGATTAATTGATAATAGAAAAAATAATGCATTGTATAAGAATTTTGCATATATTCGCAAGAAGTGCCTAAACCCTAACCCTAAAATGTGTTTTTAATAATTATTTATTCCTAGCATTCAGGTAAAATTTTGACTTTAGAAGTGTCATAGGACCTATAATAGAATTATACTACAAACCAGCAAGTGCCTGCTGTCCATCTTAAAATTTTAGATTCCTTTCATCATTTTGTGTTCGCGCCTTATAGTTTGACAATTTTTTTAAATTTTTGTTTTCTTTTTCGTAAGGATGATGGGAATATGTTTACCTTTTACACCAAAAAATCTTCAAAATCTTTCATTTTGAATATTATCGAGGAGGATATTACTAAAAGCATTGCACAATAGACCCACATCCAATTTTTCTGTCCAAAACCATTTCCAGGTTTCCATATGTAAACCCTAAAAATCAACAGCGATCTTATTATGAAATTTCAGAATTTCAGCTCTACTCCTTCAGTAAGTAATTAGTAACATTTAGTACGTATATCCAGACAATGTACATATTTCCATCCTAGAACAGTGATCCAAAATTAATAACATTTAGTACTTTTCGAACAATTATAGAACGCATTTATAAAACCAACACCAGATACCAACAGAGACCTCAATTTAGTACTTATAGTACGCATTTCTAAAACTAGCCCAATGTTTTAATCACTGACACCAATAGAGACCTCAACATCAAATTTCGAAATTCCAGCTCCTTACTTTCACCCAATACCAAATTTAGTACCATTATACTTTCGAACAATTAACCAAACCACCTCAATGTTTAAATCACAGACACAAACAGAGACCTCAATATCATGTTTCGGGATTTCATATCTATTTATTTATCTAATACCAAATTTAGTGTCAATTAGTACTTTTAGTACAATTATATTAAGTAATTCCAAATAATACAATTTCAGATACCTACAGAGACCTCAATATCAGGTTTCTATTTCTTCACCCTATACCAAACTTAGTACCATTAAGTACTTTTCGTACAAGTAAAGGGCGCATTTCCAAATTTTAGAATTTTATCTCTCTCTCTTCATCAATTCCATATAAGTACCATTCAGTACTATAGTACACATTATGCCCAAGCTACACCTAAACACTTTAATACCAAATTTTAAATTTCAATCACTATCTGTTCACCCAATACCCAACTGTACCAAATATAGTACGAATCAGAACTTTTCGTGAACTTGTAGTACACATTTCCAAAACCACCTCTTTGTCACAAACCTACCACCAACAGGGATTACAATATAAAATTTTAAAATTTCAGCTTCATCCGTTCACCCAAAATTAAACTGTCGCAAATAAAGTAGAATTTAGTATAGTTCCCACACTTAGTAAACATTTGCAAAACCATCTTCATATTTTTAACTTACTTTCCAACCTTGATTTTCATACCAAATTCCAAGTTTTTAGGTCTATATTCAAATAATGCTAAATGTTACCACTTTAGAAGTTTAATATAATTTTGGAACTTTCCGTAACCTTAACATTTGCATTTCCCAAAGTAGCAAGAAAGTCAAAATATTCCACAAAATTATTGGTCATAAAAATCTACTATAAGTTCTATAAGACGACAAGAATCTAAATCTTGCCAAAATGCCATAATTCATATACAGAGTGAGATAAAAAAAACTGCAACAAAGTCAAACGTCATAATTTTTAAATTTTATTGAATGAAAGCAAAATATTTCGGAATTAGCATCACATTTTAGAATAAGTTTAGATTTGTTCTAAATGGTCACCTTTGGCACGAATTATGGCCTTAAAACGGCCAATGAAGCCGTCACACGCTGCCCAAATGTAGCTCTGCGGTATTTTGGAACCTCATTTTGTAGCTATTCTTGGATGGCGCGTGCTGAGTGCGATTGTGCTGAGTCCTATTGGAATGTCCAAGGTCTGCGGCCAAAATGTTTGCGTGTCCAAGGCTTTAATACAACCTCCAGAATATTTTCGCGATAATATTCGGCATTTATTCTCATGGAAAGCGACGCCCACACCATCACCATGGCCGGCGCTTGAGTTCTGGTGGCCAACCGAATGTGGACATTTTCAGCTGACCTCTTTGGCAAGTAAACACGATCACTTTGTTTGTTTACCAGCTGCTGGACAACGAATGTTTTCTCATCGGAGAAACCCAAATTCAGCAATTCACCTCTTTCGGCTAAGCTAATCAACCCTTTTGCTCATTTGAGGAGTCTATTTTCTTTCACTTGCGGTATAAGTTCTTGCACTTTTTGAAATTTCAGTGAAATATTGTGATATGTTCAGTTCACAAGCCATTTTCGCCCACTGCGATGCGAGTTTCGATCAAGTTGCTTCTTTACTTTTCGAACCATTTCTGCTGATGTTGCTGTTTTCCTCCGTGCACTTCCTTGACGTCGGGCTAACTACCACTACCACGGTAACGAGCGATGGTACGAGACACAAAAGATTTGTTCACATTTAAATGCTGGAGTGCTCTAACGAAAGCCACTTGTGGTTTTCCAGCCAAACGTAAAAAAATCACACTATCACGCTTGAATTCTATCACGAATAACTTTTTTTCTGGAAAATTCTCATCAAAATGCTTTTGTCCGCTTGTAAACAATAACAGAGCTATCACTGGAATAATTTTAACAGCCGTCGGACGAGTGGCTTGAAGTTGGTTGCGGTTTTTTCACCTCATTTTGTATTTTGCGAATTTTTAGAATGGAGCTTTGAAATTTGATGGAGATGTTTGGATTAGATCCAGAATCCTTTGTACATAAAATAGGTCATAGCGGTCACTATTTTGAAATGGTTCGCTTCTAATGATAATATAGAAGCTGATATATTTCGTCCATGTTTTTTATTTAATTTTGGCATTTTAAGTTTTAATTATACCTCCACCTTCGTCGAAAACAGGGATGACTTTCATAAACAATGTAAAATAACAGTGTCGTACCATTTTATGCCTGTTTTTTTTTTTTTTTTTTCATACACATCAAACACGAACTTCCCAAAAGTAATGCTTTATGGCGCCCCTTTATACCAATTATTTTCTAAAGGCTCGACTTTTTTAACGTTGTTTAAAAACACGAGTACCGATAGGTACCTGAAAAAAATTGATGGTGGTACCTATAAATATGCTACAAAAATTCTCAATTCATATTTTGTAAGCTAACCATAAGAATTTATTTAAAAAGAGAATCACCCATATAGATGGAGAAGTGGCGGGGCAGACACCTTCCCATATGGACAATTTGTACATAATGTCAGAACACTGCTCGAAAAATCTAACTTGTCTTAAGTTGGACGGAAACTACCCCAGACCGAGTAAATTGTTGAATACAGATTTTTTTCTGTCTATAGACGCCATGCTAACCGTCGTTTGCCTATTAATGACTTTTAAAAGTCATCTGTCCCTATACAACAACAATTTTCCTATAAACATTTGAGTATTTATCCCTAGAAGACTTTTTAAAGATCATCTGCTCACAGAAGCCCTTTAAATATCCCTTAGCGTTTTGCCTGCCGTCCGTCCGTGGATGGCGTGGATAGGAAACCTTTCAAAGTATTCCTGTCTCGGGAAGTTTTTTAAAAGGTGGCCTGTATACAGAAGCTCTTAAAAACGACCACTATCTGTAGAAGATGTTAAAAAAACTTTCATATACAATACAATCAAAATGACTTGAATTTTAGCTTATCTCTAAAATTATTCTCATATATCGAGTACCTGCCTAATACTGCATATCATATATTACTCAATTTGAATACAAGCTACTCTAATGTCGGGAATTTTTATACCCTCCACCATATTAAATTTGTCATTCCGTTAGTAACAACTCGAAATATACATTTTAGACCCCACAAAGTATATATATTCTTGATCTGCATAAAATTCTATGTCGATTTAGCGATGTCCGTCCGTCTATCCGTCTGACCGTCTGTGGAAATCAATCTAACTTCCGAGCGAAAGGAAGTAGGTTGATAAAATTTTACTCAAATTTCAGCAGGACTTTTGGCATTGAAAATGGGCCATGTAGATCCACTTCTTCGCATAGCACCCATATAACGGTACCTCCCGATATTCGGCATTTTGATGATTGTAGCGACATTATTTACCGGAATTGTTTCAATTTTAGTATTTGAAGTTCGTAATGGATACTACATCCAAAGACAGAAAATGAGCCATGTAGGTCCACGTTTTGGTATAGCCCCCCTATAACGGTACCCCCCGATATTCAGGTACTTTGATGATTTTAGTGACATTATTGACCGGAATTGTTTCAAATTTGGTATTTGAAGTTCGTAAAGGATACTGCAGCCTAAGACAGAAAATTGTCTGTGCAGGTCCATGTCTTCGTATAGTCCCCATATAATAGTGTCTCCCTATATTGATGATTTTAGCTACATTATTTACAGATCTTTTTTTTTTCAAGTTTCGCATTTGAATATTGCAATAGTTTATAACAAGCGTTGCCGACACAGGTCCACGTTATCGTATAGACTCTAATATAATGGCTACATTCGGTATTTTTAAGATCTTTATTTTTTGAAAATTGCCAAATTCGTTCCAAATGGTGAAGGATATTAAATGTTCGGTCCAGTCGAACTTACAGCTTTCTTACTTGTTTTTATCAATTGTGAATCTCTTACAAAGTCTATCTTAAATTTACATTTTTGTTGAACATTTCCTGAAAATTTTTGAACATTTCGCTTAGAAATTTTACCAAAAATGATTACTCATCACCACTCTAACAAACAAAAAAACTGCACTTTTTTTTTGGTTAAAACTTAATGCCCCATTTGTTTCCTTTACAGGTATTAGAAATAGTACGAGCTGCTGATGCATTTACCTCCGGACCACCTAAATCACCATCCGAACACCCTGACCAGGATAAAATCCAAAAGACTACAACGGTGGTGATATCAAAGCATACACTTGACACAAATCCGGCACTGCCACCGGCAACATCGCCCACAGCGGCGACGGGTAGTGGTTCAATGGCAAGTGGTGGGGCGACAGTTGTTACACCCTCGCCAACCTCGTCGTCGACAACCACTACTTCGTCACCTGTTTCACAGCCTCAGACACCCCAGGTATGTTTGTAAAATATTTGTGTTTTCCTCTATTTTTGCATATGAATAAATATCTACACACACATACATACATGTGTAGCGTATGTATGTACTCAATGTTCATTTCATACCTACATACATACATGTATACATACATATGCAATGTTTTATGTATGCTTTTAAGTATATACAGTATTTTCCGAGTATATCCTTTAAATTCAGTCTGTCTAGTGTAAAATTCAAAAAGAAAGAAGAAAAAACGTGTGCGTGTCTGTCTTGATAAATGTTGTTTACATCCTTCTTGATCTTCTTCTTCTTCAACATCATCCCTTTTTCTATGTTATTTACTTGCCTTAACTGTTACATATGTATGTATGTGTAAACATTTATGTTTGCATACACTTTTGTTGTATGCATTTCCTTATATTTATATGTGTTTGTACAAACTTATATCACTTCCGCATTTATTCTACTTGTTGTTCTTATTATTGTTCTTGTCATTTTTTATGTTGTTGTTGTTGCTGTTGTGTTTAATCCATTTCAACAAGTTTGTGTTGTGTATTTTAATCCTTTTATGCTAGTGCTAATTGTATTTAACTCATCATAGAACGATGTTGCCACATTACAAAAACTAAAACAAAAACAAAATATCAAAAGGACAACAAATAAATAGGGGCGAACATTTGTTTTAATCGGTGTCATAACAAGGACCTAATGCTCTACATATATCTTCGCGAATTCCAATTGCAAAATGAATTATTCGGTTTGTAATTCGAATTATTCAATTTGTAATTGAATTATTCCATTTGTAATTTAATTATTCCATTTGTAATTGAATTATACCAATTGAATTCGATTTGTTAAATATAAAAATCGAAGAAAAAAATTATAAATAATCTGAATTGTGAATGGATGAATTCGAACTACAACTGTAATTATTCGAATTACAATTGGAATAACTCGAAATACAAATCGAATCATTCGAATTACAAATGGAATAAATCGAAGTACAAATCGAATCATTCGAATTACAATTGCAATGTTACGAATTAAATAAAAAACATGTAAAAAAGCTGTAAGTTCGGCCGGGCCGAACTTTTAATACCCTCCACCATTTGGTACAAATTTGGCAATTTCCAAAAAATAAAACCCGTTAAAAATTCTGTTAAAATCTTAAAAATACCGAATGCTTATACGACGACGTGGGCCTGCATAGCCAACTTTTGTCATAAATTATTACAATATTTACTTGAACTTGAAGAAAAATCTGTTTATAATGTAGCTGAAATCGTCAAAATACCGAATATGGGGGGTACCGTTATATGGGGGCTATACGAAGACGTGGACCTGCACAGACAATTTTCTGGCATGGGCTGAAGTATGCATTACGAACTTCACATATGAAATTTGAAACAATCCCTGTAAATAACGTCGCTAAAATCATTAAAATACCGAATATCGGGGGGTACCGTTATATGGGGGCTATATGAAGACGTGGACCTACATGGCTCATTCTTTGACTTTGGATGAAGTATCCATTACGAACTTCAAATACCAAATTTTAAACAATTCCGGTAAACAATGTCGCTAAAATCATCAAAATACCGAATATCGGGGGGAACCGTTATATGGGGGCTATATGAAGACGTGGACCTACATGGCTCATTTTTTGATTTAGGATGTAGTATCCATTACGAACTTCAAATACCAAATTTGAAACGATTCCGGTAAACAATGTCGCTAAAATCATCAAAAAACCGAATATCGAGGGGTACCGTTATATGGGGGCTACAGGAAGACGTGAACCTGCACAGATAATTTTCTGTCTTAGGCTGTAGCATCCATTGCAAACTTCAAATGCCAAATTTGAAATAATTCCGGTAAATAATGTCGCTAAAATCATCAAAATACCGAATATCGGGAGGTACCGTTATATGGGGGATATATGATAACTTGGACCTACATGGCCCATTTACGAACTTAACCTGCCTACTGGTAAAAAATACATGTGTGCAAAATTTTAGCCTTCTATCTCAATTTGTTCGAAAGATAGCGTGATTACAACAGACAGACAGACGGACAGACAGACAGACAGACAGACAGACACACAGACAGACAGACGGGCATGGCTAAATCGTCTTAGAATTTTACGCTGATCAAGAATATATATACTTTGTTGGGTCTGACATGAATATTTCGAGGAGTTACAAACGGAATGACAAAATTAATATACCCTCCATAGTATGGTGGAGGGTATAAAAATCGAATTACAACGGAAAAAGGTATAGCAAGGTCTGATCCATGTAGAAGACGGTCAAAAGGAATCATATGTATAGGAAACTCATAAACGATGTTCTATTTTAGGTAGGCCTTTGAGTGACAATATATTCATAGAACACCCCTTAAAATCTCCAAACAATAGAAAACCTCTTGAAGGTCACCAGGAAGTATTCTATGTTCTTTAATATTTCCTCTTGATAGAAGTTGTCCGGAAAGTCTTCTAACAAGAAGATGACCTGAAGGTCCATAGAAAACTTTCTGAAAGTTCGTCATCCACCCAAGACCTCCCGAAAATTTTCTGTTCATAGAGAACTCTTGAGGCGTATTCTTTCCTTACAAGACTTACTAGTATAAAGGAGTATTTACTTATAGAATATTTTTCGAATGTCTTTAATCCACGAAGGACCCTAAAAATTATGTTTAACCATAGAAGACGTCTTGATGGTCTTCTATCCTCGTTATACCTCAAATATAAACAAAAGCTCTCTTACCAAAAAAAAACATTAATAAATAAAAAAAAATAAATAAATAAAAAAGGAGCCTTTGCTGTTATTACGCCTACATAAGTCCTCTTGAAGTGTCTGCTTTGTAAGAAAATCTTTTAAAAATTACTGCTATTTATAGTAGACCGCGTTATAGTATTCTATCCAGATACCTAGAAGCTTTTCCTTCAATTAAAGAACTTCTCTGAACGACAGAATCTTCTCTGAGGAAGATTTCTCTCTTCGGGGTTTTATCTCTATAGAAATCGTTTTAAGAATATTGTTTCATAGAAGAAGTATTGAAGTAAAAATACCTCTCGAAGGACTTCACTCCACCGGAAAACTTTCAGACTTTTTGAGGGAACTTTTCTCCGTAGAAGCATATTTGAAGGCATTCTTCCATAAAAGAATAAGACGTCTTTGCTTCATAGAAGACGTCTTGAAATTCTTACGTCCATTAAGGACGTCTTGAGGGAATTTCTTTCCATGGAAAACTTTTCGATAGATTAATTTCCTAGAAGAATGACTTCTATTCATAAATTGCCCCTTGAAGATCTATCAATTGCAGACTTTTCAGGTTGTCCCCTCTTCTTCGAGAAGACCTCCAAATGGGATATTTTGAAACAATTTATTTTCATTGAAAATCTTTTGAGTTGTCTCCTTTCCTTCGAAGACCTCTTGAACAACTTTCGTACATAAAATATCTCTTGAGGGAACTTATTTACATAGAAGACTTCTTGAGGCGTTTCCTCTTTTTAGAAGACATGTTGAAAGTATTGAGGGGACTATTATCCGTAGAAGATCTCTTGAAAACGTTTTTTCCATAGAACACCTTTTTCTGGAGAATGTTTTTTTAGGGATCTTCATTAAATATCTCCTGAAAGCCTTCCATACAAAGAAGGTCTTTCGGTGGTGTTCTCTCCACGAACCACATTTTGAGGGAAATTCTTTCCAAAGAAGATCTTTATGGGGTTTTATGTCTATATAATAAAGAAAAAAAAACAAATGTTCTCTCTATTACTTGTTATACAATAAAAACAGGCATCTCAATCCTGCAGTAAAAACAAATAAGGAAAAAATATTTAAAGCTCGAAGCAGAATTCTGAACATTCTTGTTCAGGGTTTTGCAACCCCACTCAAAGTCAAGTGAAATAATTGATAATTTTGAACACAGCAGTAAATTTCCAATGAATATCCACAACAATTGGAAACACCTACCACATAATATGTGTACTACTAACATTATGAAAAAATACAACAATAAAATATTGTTAACAATTGTTTAACAAAATAAATTTAATCTCTTTACATACATACATATATCTGTTTTAGCACACACACACACACCTACATACATTGTTACTTACTAAATCAATTACCTCGTACAGATGTTATTCAAGTCATTTATTTTACAATTGGATAGAGCTTCCTTGTATTTCATAAAATGTTCTTTGTTATTTTGTGTTTTTTTGCAATTATTGTTGATTTCGATATTACTTTGGCTTTATTTATTTGATGGTATGGCTACCACACTTTCGCATCATTCATTCATTCGTAAGTTTGCTCGTTGTGTGTCTAAATTATATTTTTTATAGCAGACAAAAACTCAACAGTAATGAATGAAAGGTTTAATTTCCTCTTTTGAGGTTGCATCATTTTCTTTTCCCCATAAGAAGAAAATTAAAGCACACATACATACGTATATATGTATATTTGGAATTTGAGATGTATGAATGTACCTGAAAGAAATCACTATCATCTTTATATTCATGGATGGATGTTTTTCGATTTTTTTTGTTAGTAATTTCTTATTTTCAAATAATTTCCTTTTTTATGCAATGATTTCCGTTTATTTATGATTCAGTGTTGGTTGTTGTATTGTATGTGTTTTTGTTGTTAATTCAAATCGAAGAAAAAAATATTTTAGTTTGATAATTTTTTCTGTGAGGCAATTTTAAGGATCGGGGCGTAATTGGATAATATTATGAATAAAATCATCGGCTGTGTGGGGAAATTTGTAATTTTGAGAGTATGGAATTAGTTTCGACATAGATAGTTGTTATTTTGATTTGTTTGTAAATGACGGAAAACTCCGTTGCAACAATAAATGTTCTTAACAATAACTAAAAAATTATAGAAAAGAATCTAGCAATTAATGCCAAGATTTTTTGTATTGAACAATGGAATTTTTTTCTTGAAAGTCATCTCTCCTTAAAATACCTTTTTAGGGGTCTCTTTGAGCGATTAATACCAAGATTT